TACACACTTTTCTGGAAGTAGTTTATTCTTGAATAACCAAATTCTATCCTTAGCAAAACACAGACTATTAAGTATTTAAAGTGGAATGTTCATAGATACTTAATTCTTAAGTTGGCATATTATACTTGCATTTTTTTTTCTTTTTCTTCAGACTGTAGCAGAAAACCAGTAATTCTAATTTTCTTTTTCTTCTAAGGTAAATGAAGATGTAGGCTGGTGTAAGTTAACTACTTCTGATGGGTTACAGCACCTAATACAAATAAGTCATCCTGGAATCTATGAAAGGTATAAGTAACTTAAACAAGTTAAATAGAAAAGAATTCTGCACAGATCTCTTATATGAAGACATGGTATTTACTGAAAATAGATGGGATGGGGGTAACACCAAACACACCATGATAAAAGCTCTGTGTTTCATCTGGCAAAGATTCAGGACCTTTATGGCTCAGGACCTCTGCATGCTATCATTCCATTATGGTTATTCCAGTAATTTTATTTTTTTTTAAAGTGACTAGAGCTGAAACTTGGCACTTAGATCAGCGGAGAATGTTGGGGAAAAAAAAAAAAAGAAAAAAATCTTGTCCTATATAGAGCTGGTACACAGAAGTGGATAACACTTTATCAGATTTCTGCTTTATTACAGATACTGACCTCTGTCTGCAGATTGCTTTCTCTAATCTGCTTGCTCTAATTACAGCCTCATTATGGGAACCATTAGAAGCTTACTGTGCTACTTTTCAGCAAGGAGATATTCACAAACAAAAATTAACATTTGTACACTACTCATTACAAATCATACAGCTTTGTTACAATTTTCTGTGACAGCACAAATTTTAATATGAAGGAGATTCTACCCACAAAATGGGAATCAAAAATTGGCAAGGGAACCTAGAGAAGAAAGCTAGATTTCGACTCATGTTTTTTTCTTTCAGATCCAGGTCTATTGCTTAATGCCTTCAGGTTTTTTTGCTTGAATTACTGCAGCGTATTTCTCATGTAAATAACTACTTCTTGTAAATTTTTGTGTTAATGTAGGTACACAAGAACAGCAATAGAATGGTGCAGAAGTTTGAATGAAAGGAAGGAGATTCCTGAATATACTGAACACTCTGTAACTGAAGAAAATTGGTATTGATCTTTATCCTTAATAATTGACTACAAATAACCTTTATCCTAAATAACTGACCTATAAATAAGTTGAAAATAAAACTCAAAAAGACTAATAAACTTTGAATTTCATAGACTGAATTTCCTAAGGGTCAGAAGTAATAATTTTAAGTCCATTTATTTTTATTTCAGTGTTTAAAACATTAGCTAAATTGAGTTCTAGGTGAAGCTTGTTTCATTGACCTTCTGCCTGTCTTATTTAAAAATCAGAATTATGGTGACTTTGCCAAAGGAGTATTAATGTTACAGAGACAGTATCTTGCAAGGTGAAAAAGAGAAACTAGGCTAAGAAAGGTGTCTTTTAACAGAGCACCAAGCAGCTCAAAATAGTACTTTGAACTGCTAAATGACACTTAACATCTCTTGCTAATACATCTGTCCTTTTTAATACATGCTACAAAAGTCTGCTGACATCATATACAAACACATTCGGGTATTAAAAATGTGGGGTTTATCATTTAAAATGATTACACTTTGTATTCAAATTACAGCAGATTCAGTAGCTGATGAAATAAAAGTTGTATCTGTACATACATACATATAGCAAAGAGATCATTTTTAGAGGAGAGCCCGTATTTTTCGTAACACAACTGATTGACAGATGGCAGCCATTTACTTGAGGTGTGAAGGACAAAAATACAGCTTTTTTTTTTTTCACTTGGATTTTGCTCATCTAATTTTTAGTATTGCTGGAAACTACTAAAAATTAAAATCTGAAGTAGAAAATACATTAAGAGAACTTTTCATGATACTACATCATTTAATAATCTATTTTTTTGCACAGGTCTGCTGATGTTGAGCTTGAAAAAATACAGAGATTTAACTGTATCCTTTCTGAAAGCTGTAAAGATTTTTCACTTTTACATTGTTGCTCATCTGCATATTCAAATCTGCATTTTTGATCATCAAACACTTATTATCACCTTTTATGGTTTTACCCATTTCTTAAGATTATCTTATTGAGCCATTTTTTCTTATTTATCTTTTTATTGTTTAGTTTGTGTGATTTCTGCAGCAGAGCACCAGTAATAAAACCAATGTCAGTGTACAAAACTAAAATAAATAAATCACCAAAAAAAGGAAGCCCTTTAATGAGCACTGCCTTAACTTCGCTAATACTCACCTGCTGATCTTTTCTTGAAAGCAGGATGATGCAGTTGCCATGGGGCTTGCTGTTACAGCACAGAACCCTTCTGGTTTTCAATTACTTAAGTTTCACTCCACTGTGTTCAGATAGCTCAAAAAAGTGTGCTGCACTGCCTCTGCTTAAAGCCACTCTTACGACTGTCTTCAAGCCAGCATTCAGTTTGATTAGTAGGAAAAGTGCTGTTGAATGTGCAGTGTAATATCACATAGTTCCCTTTTTAAGGTAACTTTTGGATAAATCAAAGTCTCAGAGACATTTTCTATAAATGTTGTAGCCATTTTAAGTTATACACTTTTATTTTTTAGCTTTATGTAATTGCCATGCTATGAAATGTGAGACTTTGCAGAATGAATAGAAATCCAGAGTATTTTTCTCATTAGGAGGAAGAGTTTGAATATTTTTTTCTTTCCTTAACAAAATAACCCTAGTTTTATTGGATAATAGCAATGTTCTGGAAGGGACATCTGCTGCAAAAAACAATCCATCTGGTCTTACTGTCAGAAAAACAGAAAATGAGAGTGAGCCAGAAGAAATCAGTGAAGGGTACGTCCTGGAGGCTTTGGAAAAAACTTCCAAAGTAATTCAGGATATTGAATCTCTGCTTGCAGCTTGTGGGAGGTAAAGCCCCATGGCTTCATGAAGACCTGTGTTCTGCATCTTCATGGGAATTGTCGCAATTCTGTCTGAGGAGGCTTCGAGGTGCAAGAGAAATGAAGGCTGAAGGCAGAGTGACTGAGTTGCTGTTGTAACACCAGAGTTGCATGTTGTGGATAGGCAAAAAGAACAGTGAAATAACAGAGCACAGCTGTACAAATAAATCAGGGCTGACCTGGAAGTGATGTTTTTGTATGTATGAATGTGTTAGAATCATGTGATTTTATAGAGGCCTGTAAAAGTAACTTAAGTTACTGTTCAAGTGGCTAGGGTGGGGATAAGCAGTTTTAACTGTATGAATGTGCTTATATTCAGATGCATACACTGAGTAGTCCAGTATTGAATAGAAAGCTTTCCAAATGCTTTCTACTTCATGGTTTTGTAGTAAATAAGTATTTATTAAAGTGTCTTCAGTCCTTCCTGGTGCATTTTCTGTTACTGGATAGTGCACTGTTGTACTGGTGGTATATAATGAAAACACACTAGCCTGCTGCTCCAGAGATGAAGATTAGCAGTACAAAGGCTGAGATTATAGATAGAAACCTATTTACCTGTATAGAATCACAGAGTCAACTAGGATGGAAAAGACCTTTAAGATCATCAGGTCCAACCATTAACCCAGTACTGCCAAGTCCACCACTAAACCATGTCACTGAGGGCCTCAGCTATACAGTTTGTGAACACTTCCAGGGACATTGACTCCAGCACTGCCCTCGGCAGCCTGTTCCAATGCCTGAGCACTTTCTTCTGTGAAGATATTTCTCCTAATACCCAACCTAAACCTCCCCTGGTGCAGCTTGAGGCTGTTATCTCTTGTCCTATTGCTTGTTACTTGGGAGAAGAGACTGACCCCCCACCTCACTACTACCTCCTTTCAGGCAGATGTAGCAAACAGTAACATTCCCCCATGAGCCTTCTCCAGGCTAAACCCCTCCCTAGTTCCCTCAGTGATAAGACTCATTCTCCAGACCATTCACCAGCTCTTTGCCCTTCTCTGGACCCACTCCAGCACCTCAGTGACTTTTGCAGTGAGGGGCTCAGAACTGAACAAAATATTTGAGCCGCAGCCTCACCAGTGCCTGATGCAGGGAAATGATCACTGCTCTGACCCTGCTGGCTACACTATTGCTGATAAAGACCAGCTGAATCTAGTTCAGCTCCATCAGTCAGCGCCCCCAGGTCTTTTTCCATGAGCAGCGTTCCAGCCACTCTGCCCCAAACCTGGAGCATTGCATGGGGTTGTTCTGACCCAAGGGCAGGACCAGGCACTTTGGTCTTGTTGAACTTCCTATCACTGGCCACAGTCCATTGATTCCGCCTGTACAGATCCCTCTGCAGAGCCTTCCTGTCCTCCAAGCAGATCGTTGGTTTCTCTTCCAGCGCTTCATTGCGACTCCCCCCACCCTGTTTCCCAACACTTCCGAGCACATTTCTCCACAAAACGCCGCAGACCGAGGCTACGACGAGAAAGGCAACTTCCTCACCCGTCCTCCCAGCCTGCTCCGCGGCCACGCATGCCTCCTGCGGGCCGGGCGGCTGAGCTTCACCTCATGGGGCGAAGGGGGCTGCTAGTAGCGGTGGCGGCGGCGGCACTTGAGGTGGGTGCGAGGGGCCGCGGGGCGGCCTTGCTACAGGCGGCGGCCGCAGGCGGCTTCCTGGCTCCGCGGACTCGGCGGCTCCGAGCGGCAGCCCCTCTCGCCCCGCGAAGCCGGAAAGCCGCACGCAGCCGCCCGGGCCGGATATACGGGTCGGCTCTTCACGTAAGAATGCCGAGCTTTGCCTAAAGCCAGGCATGTCACTTAGCCGTCAGGCTGTCTCACGCTCCATTCTTGTGCTGAAGATGACGGCACATTTTTATTTCTTAATGACTGAGGAGGTGGTTGATGAGGGGCTTTGGTGATGGGTGTTGAGGCAAAGCACCTTTTTTCTTCAAGACGTAAAAATTGTTGCTGATCGATGTAATTTCACGTCTGCTTGCCGCATGCCTGTTTTTCCTTCGTTCCTGTCTTCAGTTACACATACTGATTGTATTATAGTCTTAAACTGGATTATTTACGATGCAAATGATGTTGCAGTTAATGAGGGTAATGCATAAACTGCTCGTGCTTCTTTTTTTCTTGTTTAGGATGACAGATGATTTTTTTTTTTCTTCTACTGGGTAGTACTGGGATCTGTTTCTGTTCCTGAACACTTTAAGGGTATTTCTTTCAACTGTTTTCTTTTAGGTACATCTCAGTTCCAAAGTACTCATTAAGGAAAAGGTCTGCCTTTTGGTGTCTTGGTATCTCTTTTCAACAAACACCTTAAGTTATGATCCCTGAAATAAACAATGTAAGTCCTGACTGGGGGGGGGGGATGTGGTGTGGTATTTGTTTTTCCTAATTTCCTTGTGGTTTTAATTTCGTTTCTTCCTCAGTAATTTGATAAAATCTCACTGATTTCTGGTGTGCTTTTGTCCTCTTTCCTGTTCAGCCCCCTTTCACCCTCCAACATCAATAATGCATTATAATTATCTAACTCCAAAATATTTGTTTTATTGGTTCTTCACAGGTCTTTTTAGGCTCGGAACTGCTTTTCCGTGAGATAATATGTTAAATGTTTGAGTTTATGAATTGGTAATTCAACTTTTTGGAGTATTCTGTATAAATTAACATCCAGTATCAAATGATACTTTTTAGGAGATCATAGAATTATAAGGGACTGCTGCAATCTTGACTTCTGTCCTAAAGTGCATAATTGTACTAATTTTAAGCATTGAACTCCTATATGTATTAATGTACCTGATTTTTTTCTCTTGCTGTTACAACGTAAGTTGAAAGGTTTCTTAGTATCAGCTATTTCCTCAAATGCGTATTTACAACTCTGATCTAAATATCTTTTTGTGTCAGTAATTTACAACGTTAACTGCGTGTTTGCTAAAATTATTTTTATAGTTTCCATAAGTGAAACTAAATGCATCAGCAAAATTGCATTTTCTGGATATAAGCAGAGATTATGCATAATGCTATATATATCTCATAAAAAAATGTGAGAAAGCGTAACTGAGGAGTGTAACTCTGTCAGCTATTGCGTGCGTGTGTTTTATGTAAACCCAACCTAAATCTCTCTTTCAGTATGTTAACTGGACTGATCACTTATAGGTTTCTAGGCGTTCTGTGTAATACATCTGTTTCCCACTCTCCTATTTTAACAAAAATGTAAGCTTCACAACTGTGCTTTGTCAGATGTATAGGATAGAAAAAGCTCTGACACTTCATTGTGATATTTTATATTTTATTGTGATATGTGTAAACATCACACTTTATTGTGGTATATTTACACCACCTGAAAATCATTGTTTTTTCACATAAAAAAATGCATTTTCTAGTTTTATATTATAAATTGTAGTTTCAGAGGTTATTTTGGTTGAACAGAGTTTTGCTTTTTCTAGTCTTGATTTCACTCTTGATCTGCAGAATATTTATAGTTATGCCGTTGTACCTGGTCATTTGACTCGATTTTTGCACAGATATCAGTCGTTTGTGTCTATGAAAGGTGACAGAGCCAGTCTGTTTAAAAACAGTTACTCCATGGACATGGCTCTCTACTAAGGGTAGTCTGAATCCACGTTTTTGCTTCCTATTCTTTATTCTTGCTCAGATACACCCATTCATATATTGTTTTCCAGTTGGTATTGTTACCTTTATTTCACAGTACAATAATTCTCAAATCATGCTCATTTTGTGTTACTTGTGATAGTTTTCCTGTGCACTTTATGCACATTGATAGTATCTGTAGCAAATTAGTGTAAGCCTACCACAGAACTGCGAGTTTGAAGAGCTCTGTGTAGTATCAGTGCTTACTGCTACCTGGTTCAATTCATTTAGGATGGAACAAATGGTGTTTGGTCTTCCCTGCACTGGACTGCGCAGACAGGATTCAGAAAGCACAGAAGCTCCATGCTGAGGCATAGACCATGTTTGCTACTGGAATAAAGCAACTGCAATGGAAAAAATGTGTTCACTTAGTCCCAGAGTAAGTTGGATTCTGAATACTTGTATGCTTTCTAAAGGTATGCTGCTACATCAGTTCTTCACAAGTTGGCTTCCTATTACACGTTTTATGCTAATTTTAAATAAAAACCAATCTGATGTGATGCTTATACAGAAGAAACATTTGTGAGATTACCATTTGTTCCTTAAAATGGTATTTATTCAGAAATGTTGGGTGTGTTGTAAAGCCACGTACCAGAAATGGCAGTTCCACTGTTTCAGGAAATACTTTGTGTTTACATCTTCCTTCAGGACAGTCATGGTTAACAGACTCTAAACACAATCTACTTCTTTCATCTGTGAGCAAAGTCCATGTATTATTCATGCTTTCTTCTCCTTAAGAGCTTATAAATAAGTAAATCAGTGGGCTTTTTTTCTATAAAGATCAGTGTCAGTATGCATATTTTTGTGAGTAATTCTACAAATAAGCAGGCATGCACATAGTCTGGAAGACACGTTCTATATTTCTGGGGATTATAATCAATAACATGTTTATTATGTGTCATGATTGTTAGAAGTTTTCACTTTTACAGAAAGTCTAATACACTGGTAAAAGCCCATTTAGAATAAGAATTTACATAATAGTACTGCGTGAAGAAGAGTTATTGAGATTGCACAGAAATAGCAAACTCTTGGAGAAAAAAGGTTTTGGATAGGATGTAGGCTTTGAAACTGTGGCCTGTCTCCATGGCTCCACCAAAAGGCAGAATAGAGGAATAGTTGGGAAAGTCAGAAATTACATTGTCCCTCAAAGACTGCTATTCAGTGTGTTTAACATAATAAAGCTTAGGAATATATCATTTTAATGTATTCCCACTTTTATTTCAAAAGTGTGTTTTTTAATGGTATCACAGAAATCAACAGTTTGTCTTTATAATCCAAGTATCCCATAATTGCTTCTTGGGAGTGGGGTGAGGGTGTCTTGTAGAAGTTTGAATTCTTTTTGGAATTTCTTTTGGGGTGTCAGATGGTTATTTAGGGACAGTAATTCCCAAGAAATCACCTTCTAGGAGAGAGTTTCATAACAATTACAGAACATTCCTAATTTAAAAAAAAAAGTTTAAGTGATTATTAATGCTAATAACAGTGCCTTTACTTTCAAATTACAACAGTCAACTATTGAAAAGTAAAATGTCTGGGATTAGTTAATTTTTTATTTTTTTTTTTCTGCAAAAAGAGCTGTTATGAAGATAATGTGGCAGACAATAAACAAGTCCTAAAAGTAACAGCAGAGTTTGCTGCTGGAGCACATACTGAGGAGAAGCATATGTAGTTTTGCTCTGTAAGGAGTTAGTTTTGGTTACTTCTGCTTGACTGAATAATTATTGTCTTGGAGTTTGTGATAAATAGTAAAGATGTTTTAGTGGTTCTGGTTTTCTTAATGCTTATTCTATGTGCTAGTCTCCAAGCTAAAAAACAAATCGTTGCTCAGAGAGGACTACCTGGGTGATAATACATATAATACAATCAAATAGAATACAATAACTGAAATAAAAAAAAAAATCCCTAGGAATATATAATAAAACATAGAACCGGAGGGGTTTTTGCTCAGTTGTAGTAGTGATAAATGATTTGTGATGTTAGTTTTTTTCTTTAATAATTTTCTATCTGTTCTTAACATTTACAGAACAACTGATTATGCAAAGGACAATGCACAGTGTGTGTCCTGATGACATTTTGTGTGATGTAACATGCTTATTGCCATGGCATCTGAGACTGAAAAGGCCCATGCTCTTCTCCAGACTTTCAGCACAGCTTCAGTTATTTCTAGTCTAGGTTTGGGAGTATTCTGCTTTGTAGCAGACAGACTTCTGCAATTTTCTTTCATTCAGCAAAATGACTGGCTCCGAGCCTTCTCTGACAATGCAGTGCACGGTATACTAGGAATGTGGTCCTGGGCAATAGTGATTGGACTCAGGAAGAAAAGTGACTTCACTGAGGTCACTCTGGCTGGCTTCCTCTCCTCTGTCATTGATGTGGACCACTTCGTTCTTGCTGGGTCCCTGTCATTAAAGGTAAGGTAGTAGATAAGTTGTTGTGTACTTTTTTTCTTCACTACTGTTTACTTTTTTTGTTCTTCTGCCATATTGTAAGTAAAAAAAGTTCCAATTAAATACATTTAATAGATATATGGGAATTATATTTGATGCAGTTGTTAAAATTTTAAAAACCCTAAAAATAATTTAACTACTGTTAAGTTATTCTTGCCCTGTAAAAAAAAATTCTGAAAGCTGTTGTTTATTACATCCTCCGTGTATCACATAATTGCTTTGTTACCCAAGTTAAACAGTTAAGTGCTGCAGTGTGTGCTTTTTGTATAAAGTGGATTATTCCATTTCTGTTTACAGTAAGACGTAGAAATATCTGGTAAGTAGATAATTGAGCTGCAGTTTGGTTTCATTCAGTCTGACTGACTAGTACATTTGGTTTTAGCCAGCCCTAAGTATTTCTCCCACAAACAAGCTATATATGAGCTGTCACTGTTAAAAAGGCAGTTTTGAGTTTGCCCTTAAATATAGTTCATATAAAAAAAAATAATATAAGGCAAGCATCAACTTCTTTATAAACATAAGAAGGTGATTTTTCTCTTGTTATGGAGTATGCATGATCATCATCCACTTGCAGAACTGCTTGTAACAAGAGTTTCTCAACAGGAGTACTACCAGATCATGGCTTTTTTTTTTTTTGGTAGTGCTGTGCTGGTTTAGGTGTCTCCTGTTCCTCCTTCCCCATTCACATACATATATCCCTGTCTTTCTTGCTTGTTGTAGATATGTATGTCCAGATTTTGCTGACTACAACAGTTTCTTCTGTATACTCTACAAAACATTGGTACCTTCTGTAAGCTCTGTCTGTGCCAGACCCAGACTTAGTTCTGTGCCTCCCATATCTCATACCTTACGCAGACACTCCTTGCCCCTAGCTAGCTCTTGTTCCCCATAGCAGCAGCCCTGCCACTCTGTTTGTTACTAGGAACTTGCTCTTGGTTGCAGTTGGAAGTGTCCACTGAAAGTCATCTTCTCAGACCCCCTGCTGAAGCAGGGTCACCTGGAGCTCACTGCAGAGTCCCACCTCTCATCATACGCAAGATGCTCCAGTCCCTTCACACTCTTAGTGGCCCTTCTCAAGACTCAGTTGCCAGTAGCTCCATGTATCTCATAGTTGGAAGCCTATCTGGACTCATGTCTCTGGGGGTGGTCTTACGAGTGCTGAAGACAAAGGGAAACATCACTTTCTTCTACCTGTTGGCAACACTCCTAAGCAGCCCAGGGTATCACTGGCCGCCTTGCCACAGGTCATGTTGCTGGCTCATACTCAACTTGTATTTAACAAGTTGAATTTCCTCAAAACTGCTTTCTAGCCAGGCAGCCTCCAGCATGTGCTGTTGCCTGGTATTGTTCCTCCTTAGGCAGCGTCTAGTTCTCCCCTTGTCTGTACTTCTTGCATATGGAAATACTGTAAAATTATAGAACTATATGAAGAAAAGGGAAGTTTGGTTGATTAAGGAGTCCTATAATATTAAGGTTTTGGTATAGAATTTAAATCTGTAATTCTTTTTGTATATATTTCCTTATTTTAAAATCAGCAAATGCAAGTAATGAATAGTTAATTACTAGAAAGTATTGTTAAAGTTTTATTGCTGCATTTTTCTTGCCTTTGAGGTTACCAGTATTTTTTCTCAATTATGACCGCTAGATGACACTCTTCACCAGTGTCTGTTTAGAAAGTTGAGTATTGTGTCAAAAAACCGAGAGGTGACCAGTCCCTGCCGCCTTCAGTGAGGTGAGGTTAAATATGCTTACATTTTCCATAATGGAGACTGCTTTTATAGCCTATCCCTAGTATCCCAAACAAAGTAAATAACTGCAGTTTCATGACTGAATTTTTTTTTCCTGTGTTGTTTTGGTTCCCAAGCAGCTAGCAGTTGTTTTTCTAATATCCATTCTAAAGTATTGTGACAGCTAGATCTTGTTTCCTTATTCTTTATGCCCTCTTTGGAGAAGACAGCTGATTGCTGTGCTTTCCCCAAAAATGTTGCTCAAATCAGAAATACAAGGTGTTGAAGGTAGGGGAATAGCCAGCAGTAAGTTAGTAGCCAGACTTACTTAGCTGAGGAAAGGAGATTGCAGGATGCCTAAGGCTTTTTCATAGCAATTTGCCTATAAACTCCTCCTTCCAAACATTAACTGCATTAATAAAGGATGTTTATCTATAAATCATGTCCTGTGTATGTCTCTTGACCCTTATAGGAGTAGCAGCATTACTTCTACAACTTGCAGAACCATTATGCTTTTCAAAGAGTCTCTTCTTGACTAGCTGGCTTGCAAAAAATCCGAACAGAAAAAATCTGTTTTCTAAACCTCTCACTATTTTTCTTGGTCTCCTCTGTATTACCTTATGCCTAAATTGTCTTTAAAGGGTCCTGTCCCAAATTATGTATAGTATTTTATGTGAGATTTCATTAGATCCAGATAGCATAGGTTAATTCCTTTTAGTGTCACATGCATGCAACATTTCTGTCATTTTAAAAAGAAAAAAAGTCTGTTACAGGTTTTAAATCTTCTTACACTGCAGTCAGAGGTATTTTAGCTTGTGATATAGTGTAGTATGCGTACTCTTTACTGTTCTGTTGTTGCTCAGTTAGCTAGACTTGATTGTAGTACGTGATTTTTCTTTCTTCAGCTTTATATGATGTAACTTTCAGTTTCATGTAGTAATTTCAGGCTGTTGCCTGTATAATTTATTACTTCATGGAATACTTTTTTACTATGTATTTCTTAGCGCCAGTCCCATTCTTCCTGCTTAGATTGCAGAATTGAGAGTAACTGATTTAAGAGACTACAATGTTTACTGCTTATGCAATACGTTCCAAAGTAACTAATAAATTAAGAATCTAATTAACCATACCACTCTTACTAATTTGTAACAATAGTATTTTTCACATTACACAATTACATATAAAGCTGTTCATAATCACTCTTAAATCTGATGATGGGTTACTTTTTTTAAGTAGGCAGTATTGCCATCTACCTCCAGTTGCTACATTCACACTCCTCCAGTCATTTCCTGCTGACACAGCTGGCTGCTTGGATTATTTGGCTAGTGGGCTGCTTTTCATGGTGTCATCATTATTTTTCTGCAGTATTCAGGTTAAATAGTCACCTGTGGTATTTATATGTTTACTCTGATAAATACTTGTGTACCAAGTAACATGTGATCTGCCCTTTTGCCCATGTGTTTTTTTGCAACAAGTATAAAGTCTACAAAGACCTTGCTACTTAGAATTTGTAGTTCTTTGTACTTCATTTATTTTTTACTGTGTATTATATGGACATAAGTGTAGAAGAATCTAAGAATTTGTGTTTGAAGAATCTATGTCATTGACTAGCTCTAAATGTGAACATTTCTGCAGCCTGCCATCATACTCAATATTGCTGATAAACAAGAACAGCATTGTGGGCTGTTCTCAGTGTCGCACAGGATTGTAGCCTGAAAACTCATGTTGTAGAACAGATGTGCAGGAATTGCTAGCTTGCTGCTTAAAACTGCCAGCTTCTAAAAGTGTAGAGTCAGTGGCAAACAAGACTGTACCAGCTGGTTAATGTAAAACACCTGGTTAAAACAGACTGTAAAACAGCTGGTTAATGTGCCACTACTGACCAGGCTGGGCTGCACAGGAGGCATTTCTGGTATGGAGAATAAGCTTTGCCCACGAACAACTAATACAACATTGAATTTATAGATTGGCCCCAAAACTAAAGACTTCAGGTTTGTGAAATATCATGGAATATGAGTGAGGGAGCCCATGTTATTACATAAATTCTGTGGTGTCACTTTGAGCAGTAAAGCAAAGAGTTAGCTTGGGTTCTCTTGCATGGAATTGTTGTCTCCAGTCTCCAGATGCTCATGGTAATGTGGGAAAAAGGCTGGAGGAGCAGGAACTTCCAGAAGATCTTGTACCTGATAGAACTTTCAGGGAAATGGAAAGGTAATTTGTGTTGTGAATAAATTCTGTTTGTAACTGCAGCCTGATCTCTCTCATGGTAGGCATCCCCCTAAATCTACCCAAATCACAATCATCTTTTTCTGAGATATTTAAGGCAGAAAAGGCCTTGGTAATCTCTAAAGGCAAACAAGTTAGGAGAAAGTGTGTAACAACTTATATTGACAAATAGAACATGTCTGTCCCTTGGGCTTGTCAACTCAAAGATGTAAATGTTTTCTAGTTACAGGATGGAAAAGAGGTAATAAACTGTTCTTCTTTCAGAACTTAGGCACAGCATTTCAGATGCTCAATGACTCTACTGCTATTACAGAATAGGGTTGTCTTGTGCTTAAATTGCACAGTCAGTTTGCTGTATGAACAGCCCTACCATCTAAATTTTGTATGAAACAAATTAAAACATCACCTCCCCCAAACTGGGTAGAGATTGGCACTAATACTGATAAATTGCATATGTAATTAACATTCCCATTCTACTTCCTCATTGTGTTGCTATTGGTACCTAACATCCACAGGGCAAATATTGGGAAAATATTCATTTAGACTTTGCCACTGATTTTTATAAAGTGCAGGAACAGTGACTAGGCAATAGGATGTCTGGCAAAATGTATCACTATCCAGCATGGTTTTTTTTCAAAATTAAGCTGGTATGAACTTTTCAGGCTCTTGCTGACAGTAGCAATGACTTCTCTTTGTAGGGTAGGTAGTACTTTCACCATCACAAGATTTTTCTGCCTCAGTCCTTGAATTCTGCTTGTATAAAGCAGAAACGAAGTTGTAGAAAATATACCCTTTGCACCAACTTTAAGGAGCTGAGACCATACCACTGCAGTTAAAAGTTGTTGAGATAGTTTATGAGCTTTTTAATTCTGTCACCTGATTGAGAGAGTCACAATGAAGCATGTGGTGGGAACCTAATAGAGCAAAGCTTTCTGTGAGCCTTTTAACATTAGCATTAGTTTAAAGCACGGGCTGTTATTGTCAGGTGGCCCATAAGTTTTCATCTCTGATTTGTGGCTAAGGCTACATCAAAGTTCCCTTACAACAAAGACGATTCCAAGCAGTTGTCTGAATTATTCATGAAAACTTGATTAAGCCATTCCAGAGTCCCACTCCCATAGCTGAAACCTGCAACAGTTAACTGAAGCATTGACGGGTTACTGGCTGGTGTCCTGTAGTAATGCTTTGTTTGCTTTCTGCAGTAGATCCAGTATTCAAACTAACAATGAGATTCATCATTATATACAAAGAGTGTGTCTCTGGTGCCTGTTACAGTCTTTGCATATGCTCACTGGCATCTGAATTGAACCAGTTAATATTACATCAACACCTGTATAGATCTTTTAGTAATGTGCTATCATTTTTCTCATGCATACAGAAGCAAGTATTTACTTATTTGTTGCTTAGAAAACCAAAACAGGTTTTTTGGTTGTTGGTTTGTTGTTTTTTTTATTACCTGAATTTGTGGAGATCTAGCTGTTGCTAGTAAGTACATCTGGAATGTTTTGAATATTTTCTCAAGTATATATATTAAATTGGTAGCTATCAGTTCTTAAAACACTTAAGTTTAATCTCACTGGTTAGACATTTGCCTTAATTAAAACCAAATATCAGGCTTTCAACTGAAATAGTGTTAAACAGTTTGTTGATTAAAAAAAAAAAACAGTCACAAATGATTCAGAGGTCGGCTTCTGAACTTGTCTTTTGCCTGTCTGTAAAGAATACTGCATCAAGGCAACCAAAATACATGTAACTTAGATGATATTTTTGTTGTACTGGAAATTACTGTTCTGTTTCAGATGCTGTTCAACTAGAACAGCTTCACAGGTGCTAACTAGTATAATATAGTGGGGGTTTTTTAAATCATTAAAGCATATGAAATATTTAAAGTAGAGCATATTAAATATTTTAAGTGTATTATATGGTTGTTTTGATTTCAAAATTAGATACATGTAGTCAGTGCAGCAGACCGTACAAGTTCTGTGTGTATAAAGGTTCCACATGCCTATCTGACAGATAGCACAACTCATCCCTCTCCCTCCCTGTTTCGTCATTGGTAATGCTGCATTGGATGCATGATTCATACCATACAATAGAGAGACAGTGCAATGAACAGCTCTCATATGTCTAATCATGTTGGTTTTGGTAAACTACAGTGGAGAGGAACAGTGTGTTTTTCTTTGCACTTGCACTTAGCCACTTGATAATACACCTGTAAACATCCATGAAACATTTCTTTTCTTGTCACAATTGTACCTATTACCAATTATATTTTTCTTTTCTGCAGGCTGCTCTGACTCTTCCACGGAGACCATTTCTTCACTGTTCTACTGTGATTCCTGTTGTGGCTCTGACATTAAAGTTTATTATGCACCTTTTCAGGCTTAAGGATTCATGGTGCTTTCTTCCCTGGATGTTGTTCATATCCTGGACTTCTCATCACATCCGTGATGGGATTCGTCATGGCCTCTGGATCTGCCCATTTGGAAAAACTCCTCCTTTGCCATATTGGCTCTATGTGGGAATTACAGCATCTTTACCTCATCTATGTTCATTTATTATGTATTTAACAGGCACTAGAGAATTAATGTCTATAAAACACGGAATCCGCATTGATGTATAAGAATGAAGTCTCTTAGAGGCTGTTAAGTCTTGAATATTTGACTGTGTGAAGGCAAACTTACTTATTACAGTAAAACAGAAACTTTAGGGAAAATTTTGGAAGATTCAGATATGAGAAAATTAAAATTGCTCAAAATGTGAGTTTACTTACAGACCTTACTACTGTCTTCATAAACAGCATTTTCCATTAAGTGCAATGTCATCCATAAAATTCAGTATTATTACATGGAAACATGAATTTTCTCATAAATAGGTTCCCTAACAAAGCATGTTACTATGTTGCATGTTCGTAATGTAGTAATTTGTGCTGGGATCTATTCAGTTTTCATTTACAGAAATTTCTCAGAAAAAGTCCCAAAGTAAAAATATAGCTCTTGTCTAGGTTACAGTGTACACCTGCGAATTGTCTATTAGTCATTGTTCTACTAATTTTTTTGTTCATTGAACTCCATTATCCATTAAGGAGACAGGACCTTAATTCCAGTTTGCGATGAACAGCAGTCAGAAGGGTTTGTGTTTATAGAAGAGCATACATAGGGTAGCATGTGCTGAGCTGAAGTTATCATAGAATCATAAAATAGTCAGGGTTGGAAAGGACCTTAAGATCATCAAGTTCCAACCCCCCTGCCATGGGCAGGGACACCTCGCTCTAAACCATATCACCCAAGGCCTCATCCAACCTGGCCTTGAACACTGCCAGGGATGGAGCATTCACAACCTCCCTGGGCAACCTATTCCAGTGCCTCACCACCCTAACAGGGAAGAATTTCCTCCTTATATCCAATCTAAATTTCCCCTGTTTAAGTTTTAACCCATTACCCCTTGTCCTATCACTACAGTCCCTAATGAAGAGTCCTTCCCCAGCATCCCTATATGCCCCCTTCAGATACTGGAAGGCTGCTATGAGGTCTCCACGCAGCCTTCTCTTCTCCAGGCTGAACAGTCCCAACTTGCTCAGCCGAACTTCGTACGGGAGGTTCTCCAGTCCCCTGATCATCCTCGTGGCCCTCCTCTGGACTTGTTCCAACAGTTCCATGTCCTTTTTATGTTGAGGACACCAGAACTGCACACAATACTCCAAGTGAGGTCTCACGAGAGCAGAATAAAGGGTCAGGATCACCTCCTTCGACCTGCTGGTCACGCTCCTTTTGATGCAGCCCAGGACACGGTTGGCTTCCTGGGCTGCAAGTGCACACTGAAGCCAGCTCATGTTCATTTTCTCATCGACCAGCACCCCCAAGTCCTTCTCCGCAGGGCTGCTCTGAATCTCTTCTCTGCCCAGCCTGTAGCTGTGCCTTGGGATTGCTCCGACCCAGGTGTAGGACCTTGCACTTGGCATGGTTAAACTTCATGAGGTTGGCATCAGCCCACCTCACAAGTGTGTCAAGGTCCCTCTGGATGGCATTCCTTCCCTCCAGCATATCAACGAAACCACACAGCTTGGTGTCATCGGCAAACTTGCTGAGGGTACACTCAATCCCACTGTCCATGTCACCAACAAAGATGTTAAATAAGACTGGTCCTAACACTGATCCCTGAGGGACACCACTTGTTACTGGTCTCCAGCCCGACATTGAGCCACTGACCACAACTCTTTGTGTCCGGCCATCCAGCCAGTTCTTCATCCACCGAGTGGTCCATTCATCAAATTAATGTCTCTCCAATTCAGAGACAAGGATGTCGTGTGGGACAGTGTCGAACGCTTTACACAAATCCAGGTAGATGACATCAACTGCTTTACCGCTGTCCCATCAGTTCTGTAGCCCCATCATAAAAGGCCACCAAATTGGTCAGGCAGGATTTCCCCTTAGTGAAGCCATGCTGGCTGTCACCAAACACCCTGTTGTTTTTCATGCGCCTTAGCATGCCTTCCAGGAGAACCTGCTCCAAGATTTTTCCAGGCACAGAGGTGAGACTGACTGGTCTGTAATTGCCTGGGTCATCCATTTTCCCCTTCTTGAAAATGGGGGTTATATTTCCCTTTTTCCAGTTGTCAGGAACTTCACCTGACTGCCATGATTTTTCAAGTATGATAGCCAGCAGCTTAGCAACTTCATTCGCCAGCTCCTTCAAGACCCATGGATGGATTTCATCAGGACCCATGGACTTGTGCACATTCAGATTTTTAAGATCGTCTCGAACCAATTCCTCTCCTACAGTGGGCCCAAGGTCTTCATTCTCACAGTCCCTGTGTCTGCCTTCCATGACTTGGGTGGTGCGGTCAGAGTCTTCGGTAGAGAAGACCGAGGCAAAGAAGTCATTCAGAACCTCAGCCTTCTCCAAATCCTGTGTAGCTAGTTCACCTGAGAGCTTCCTGAGGGGGCCTATGTTCTCCCTAATCTGTTTTGTATTTGCTATATACCTATAGAATCCCTTCCTGTTATCCTTAATATCCCTAGCCAAGTTTAATTCTAACTGGGCCTTAGCTTTCCTAACCTTGTCCCTACCTTCCGGGACTATATCCCTGTACTCTTCCCAGGCCGCCTGTCCTTGCTTCCACTTTCTATAAAACTCTTTTTTTATTTGAATTTTCCTCAGGAGCTCCTTATCCATCCAAGGAGGTCTCCTGGCCCTCCTGCTGCACTTCCTTCTGGTTGGGATGGAACACTCCTGAGCTCGTAGCAGGTGGTCCTTGAAGACCAACCAAGAGTCTTGAGCCCTTCTGCCCTCTAGGGCTTATCAAAGGAAGTAAAGATGAGGTTATATGTTCATATGACACTTATGTGTGTAAATATATCTTAAAGTGCAAAAAAGTCACAGAAGTTACTATTTGGGATGACTGGCTTATTGAGTACGAGAGACATATGGCTGCAAAGTACTAGAGGCTGTCTGCTGCACACTAACCTAATTACAGAAAGTTTCACCTTTTAAAATGTGCCTTCCAAATAGTCTCTGCCCTATTTGTTCTTCATGTAAGAAAGGTATGCTTAGGGAAACAATCAAAAATGTGTTGGTTTAGAGCCGTCAGAGTGGGAACTGTCTTTTATCCAAAGGCTGAATGGTTTAGAAGACGAGGAGCATTGTTCATGCATTTACTTCTAACCTGTATTTTAAACTACAGACTATGAAATTCCAGTTATGGATATATTTTGTGCAAGAAGTGAACACTTAAATCCTTGCAGCAAATTTTCTGAATTCTTATTTCGTAGTATAGTACTCATATAATTTTGTGCTTCATAATATACAGGTCTGTTGCAAAGGGAAATGCATGTAGAAACAAAGTAGAGAATTGCATTTTCTCATTTTTAGATTGTAGCTGTAGCATTTTTGGTAACTCTATGTCCACCAACAGTCCTTAAGATTGGTATGGTACTGTACTGTCCTGGCGATGTTTAAGGTATGTCTTCAGTAGTTTAAAAACACATATTTTCATTCTCTGTATTGCGATTCTTGTGAGGGGTTTTTTACAATAATTTTCAGCTGTGTTTCAATATCTTACTTTTCTGGTCATGGTCTTGTACCAGTTCTACCACATCAACAGGTGAATGCCGCTTAGAAATATATTAAGGAAGGTAGCAAGAACATGTGACACTTAAATTGTTTCTTTCCCTGCAGACCTACCTGTCAGTCTCACATCCTGGCATTCAGGCAGCTCCACCTCAGGCCGTTGACAGCTTTTCAGAGTAAACTGACAGGTTGCATGTAATGCTGTAATTTGTGGGTACACAGATTAGAGAACAATGACGAAGTTCATGTCACCTAGGAGATACACCTGCCTATTAGTAATGAATTGCCTAACAATTCCTTGCCAGTATTTCATGTGCATTTCAAATTCATTGGTATTTCCAACTATGCATTGATACCTACACATGTAGCAAAACCATGGCAAAAATAAACCAAGACATTAAAACCATAATGAATTTGTGCATGCTTTACAGTAATGGATAAATATGAAGTACAAAAAACATGTGAATTACACACAAAAAAAAAGTTAAAAAGCTCAAGTTAATAATTCTGTGCGCAATTCATGACACTAAAACAACAGTTATTTCAGTGGTTCATTTGCTATGCTAATCTAAACTTTTCCGTGTATTTTCAAGTGGTACTTACCAGGTTGAAGAAAGTGTGGTGGTTTCCTTTACTGTTAGAACTTTGCTGCTTTTTTTCCTGTTTAATGGACTGCTATTGTGGAAAGTAGGTACTAACAATTGCCAAGTTTAAAAGAAAAGTGTTAGAATGTTTCTTCTCCCCAGTCCTCCAGAAACAAGGAAAAATTTTTCCTAATGCCCCAGTGGCCTTAACAGAAAGAGTAAATACATTTCTTACCAGTTTATATTTGAAATGTAATCTGTATTTTTCATTTGACTCCTGGTACCACTTTATTCTACAGGGAAGTGTATTGCATCGTGCACCTTTAATTGGTTATTGATAAGTGAATTATTCATAATTGGTGCTGTGCTTTAAGGGAGTTTGCATTAAATAGAAATAATCTTAACAGCCACGGCATTGGTATTAGTTTATTACTAGAAGAACGTTTCTTTTGCTAATGGAAATAAGGTTCCAGAATGAGGGAGGGAAGGGGTTAGAATTCAGTCTAAAGGAAATGTTAGTTCATAGTTAATTTTGAACATACATTTTTATTCCATCAGCTACTATCAGTATGAAGCTAAATGAAATGCATCAGAAGAGTACATTTCTGTTCAATGGAGCCAATCTATATTCTGTCAGTTATGTAAATTTATTCAGGACAGAATAAATTTCATATTACAGGTGTTGCACAGCATGGGCTTTGTTCAACCAGTAATTCTGAATCCACGATCTAGGTTTTGTTTCCCTGCTACAGGCAGACCTTGCAATGAAACAAAGGAAGGGCTGTTGGTTTAAAATACCCTTTGTATCCACTAAAAAAAAACCAACAAACCAACAACAACAAACCACAATAATAAGGCTTTTCTTCAAAATAGTAAGTTGGTTACTTCAATTATTTCTTAAAATTTTCCACATTTTGTGGCCTCTACACTGAATTCTGTATTGTAGAACTGTTTTCTATTACATATAACATAGACCCACTATGATAAA